GCAGGATGGTTTTAACCTGAAGGATACATGTCTATATAGATATGAATTACTATTAGGAAGAATTTTTTCAATAAGAAAGAGAGTGGGGAGTCCCTGGAAGCTGCCATTTAAAGATTTCTTTAAACCTTTCCAAATATCCAAATTTTGTGGCTGCCCCTGGACCCCTGGAAATGTCCCAGGCCAGGCTGGACGTGGCTCGGAGCAGCCTGGGATGGTGGAAGGTGTCCCTGCATGGGGCAGGGGTGGGATGGGACGATCTTTGCGATCTTTTTCACCACAATATATCACATAAAAACCCCCCCATACCCCCAGGAGGGTGTGCGGGGAAGGAAGGAGCCGCCTCGGCCGTGTCGCTGTCCCCGCCGGGCCGCGGTCGGGCTTTAGGACCCGGCGGTGACACCGCCTGTCCCTTCCCCTTCCAGCCGCGCTCCTCGCTCGGGACTTTCTCCACGTTATTTATTTATTTATTTATTTTTTTAAAATTACTATCTTTTTTTTTTTTTTTTTTTTTTTTTTTTTAAATCGGCGCGTGTACGGCGCGGCCGGCGGGGGGGGGGGGGGGGGGGGGAAAAACACGGGGGGGTCTTTTTTTTTTTTTTTTTTTTCCCCCTTAATTATTTATTTATTTTCGGCGGCGGCGGGGGGGTGGAAAGAAATAAATAAAGAACCCCCCCCCCACACGCCCCACGAAGGCGCGGCAGCGATGGTGCGGACGGGGTGAAGGCAGCGGCCATGGCAGCCCGGCGGCTCTTCCACCTCCAGCCCTGCGGTGAGGGACACGGATTTTGGGGGGGGATTTTAGGAGGTTTTAGTGGGGCTCAGAGGGGACGGGAGTATCGCTTTGTCACCCCGCTTGTCACCCCGGTTTGTGCTCGTTGCGCCAGCGCAGGGGTCGCGGCGGGATGCGGTGGGCTTGGGGAAAGGGGGGGGGATGTATCCTGATTTTCCCTTTTTTGGGGGGGATTGAAGGGGGAAAAAAATCGCTTTGCATCGCTGCTAGAGGTTTTTATTTTTTTTTTTTTTTTTCCCGCCCTGTTATTTAGAGATCAACACCCCCAAAGTTGAGCTGCTTGTGCAGAGCGGGATGTTCCAGCCCCGGGGATGCGGTGGGACAGGAGGAAGGGTGGGAAAAAGGAGCGATGGAAAATTGGGGTCTGGCACTTCTCGGGGTGTTTTATGCCCCACTTTTACTTGTTTGCAGCCAGCGTGGGGCGGAGAGCGAGCCGTGGTGCTCAGCTCCGCTCTGCTGCTTGCGGATGAGGTTGCCTGACTTCGCTTTGGTGTAAAAACCGCAATAAAAACGAGGTGGGGGGGGGGGAGAGAAAAATAAAACTAGAAAAAGCGAAACTTCAACGTGAAGACTTTCCCAGATGTACACCCTGGGAAAGACCCTCCAGCAAGGAGCTGATTTGAAACGCGGTGGGGAGGAGGGGTTTAAACACCTTTGGGAGTTGGCTTTGTGATTTTGGGGTGAGCTTTTGGGAGTTCTTTTATTTTTTTGGCGGTGCCGTGCAGAGGAAGCGCTTCCTTGAGCGGCATGGCCGCGGCAGCGCTGGGTGACACCGGGACAGGGACAGGGACCGGGGCTGCTGCACGGCATTTCTGTGCTGGACCACAAGTGACTGTAGGTGGCACAGCAGCTTTGTCACCCGTGCTGTCCCCGGGTCAGTGCTCCGGGAGGGTTTGTGCCTCCGGAGCGCTCCGGTTTAATGGGAAAAGTTTTTACTCGGAGCTGATGTTTTCTGCCTTAAGAGTTTTGCTCTGCCGCTTTTTCGTGTCCCGCGCTGTCGTTCTGGAGAAGGCAATAGAAAACCATGGAATGGTTTGGGTTGGAGAGACCTTAAAGATCATTTAATTCATTTAATTCCACCCCTGCCATAGACAGGGACACTTTCTATTATCCCAGGTCACTCCAAGCCCTGTCCAACCTGGCCTTGGACGCTTCCAGGGACCCAGGGGCAGCCACAGCTTCTCTGTGCGGATTTGCACGTGGAGAATCCACAGAGAATTTCTCCTTTTCCCCCGAGTTGTTCCAGCATTTGCAGGATTTCTCCTGGATCGTCTCTAGGTGCGAGCACAGCCTTGTCCCACCTCTGCCAAATTCCTGCCCCTGGAGTCCTCCAGCACGGGATAAACCCCTTGACCTTGAGTAAATCCAGCTGTGCCTCACCTGGGTTACTATTATTGGGTTTGTTGCTGCTTTTTGGGTTTTTTTTTTTTTTTTTTTAGGAGGCTGGAACAGCCAGGCAACACTTTTGAGTCCTGTCTGCACAGCGACCTCAGTCATTGCTACCCCCGCCGCTTCCCGGCTATAATCGGGATTTGTTGGCTAATCCATCTCAGCCAGAGCCCTCCAGTTTTGAAATATCTGTGGCTTTTGTGCAGTTGGTGCTCCGTAAGAATGATGGACCGCAGAGGAAGTTCCCCTCCGGCTCTCCTGTTGTTCCTTGGCAATTTGAATGCTTCAGCTTGTTTAAATAAATGCAGATAAAAAGAAAGGGTTGGGGGGTTTTAAGTGGAACCCTCTCTTGACCCACCCGGTGGCATAAGATATCTGTGTGTAAGCTCAGAGTGGCTCGACTTCTAGTAAAGCTGTAGTAAATCATTTGAGGCTGTAAACATTTATTAAAACAAGCTTTATTTTTGTGTTGAGTCAGTGTGAAAACAAAGATGTCTTGGGTTTCAAAGGGAAAGGATCCACAAGGGAAGTTTTCTGCTTTGGCTTAAAGGAAAGTGTCAGTGAGAAGTTGGATGTTTCAGCAGAAGGGAGCTGAGGTAAGAGTTAGGGTCAGATTTTTTGCTTCAGAGTTGGAATTTAATCCAGAATTATCAGACTTAGCCTGGTGCTGTTCAATTTGCCTGTTTGTTGTTTGGTTTGATCTTTCTTGCAGGAGGCAGCTGAGGTAGGAGTTAGGCTCAAGGTCAGACTTTAGTCCGGATTTTAGTCCGGAATTACCCAGCTTAGCCCTGGTGCTGTTTGATTTGCCTGTATAAGACTAAAACCTCCAATTCTGTCCTGACAGAACTACACCGATGCTCTGTACAGGTATTTTATGCCTAAGGACACGTGTTAAATCACATTATCTGGGGAAAGCTGCTTGTTTGGGTTTTTTATTTTGTAATTTTAATACAGTGCTGTGATTCAGGTGTCTGGGAGCCCTGTGGCTTCCCAGAACCTTTCTGTTGTATAGGCTGGGTGGCACTTGAGTTTCCTCCTCCTAACATGAACCCACATCTGGAAAAGTCCTGGTTCCTTGTGTAGGATTGCCCTGGGAGTAAACAAAGCTTTTCAGTACAATTTAATAACTCATCATCATGGTGGAGCTGTTACCTACCCTCTAAATATGCAAATCCTTGCCAAGATATCCAGCACAGGTTAAATCTCAGCTGCCTTTGCTGTAGCCATCCAGGCTGGGTGGGGAGTCTGTTGGGAAGGATGCAGAGGGGTTAAAAGCTGGGAATGCCGAGGCAATTCCTCAAAGTTCATCTTTGCTCGAGTCCGAGCAGCGTTGTGTGATTGTGAAGTTTGCAGAGCAGCTCCTTCGGGAGTTTGTGCTGGGACCTGGCCATGCTGAAAATCTCGATTTTTTTTTTTTTAATTTTTTTTTTTTACCTCTTTTTTAGTGGAAATCCAACTTCCAAACTGTGATCTGGGCTGAGGTCCCCACAAAGGCTCTCTGCAGAGCACGGTGACACGCTGGCCCAGAGCACTGCAGGCTCCTGCATCTGTCAGTGCTGGCTGTGATATCAAAGGGCTCTGCTGTCACTCATAACTCCATGGGTTTTTCTACTCCCTCGTTCTAAATTCATCCCTGGCTCTGACTCCCAATTAAAACCAGCAGGACTGAGGGTTTCACTCTGCCTCTGCTGCTCAAGGAGGTTCTGTGAGCTCTGATGAGCCAGTGGGGCTGTGATTTGGGAACAGAGGCAAGAGTAGTGTCAACCCTCAGAGATTTGCTGAGAAAGTGCGAGAACATGGGGAGAAAAACATGACAACCAAGGCAGCGGAGTGGGTCACACTTCGTGCTGGTGTTGAGTGAGGACTTTTCTTCCCCACGTGTCCTTTGGGGTTTGAAGGACCTGATGGAAGTGGCAGGAGCAAGGCTGGTGGCAGCTGTGCCACGGTGGGATGGATGCCAGCAGTGCTGATGGGGGCTGTGCTGGGGAAAACGAAGATTTGGAGCTGGTGGAGAGATCTCAGCTGCTCAGTGCTCAGAGCTGGGCAGCTTTTGTCTCAAGGTGTTCAGCTGTGGAGGTGGAGCGAGTTGTTGCTGGGTGTTCCCCACTGAGAGGGTGTCAGGAGTGGAAATCAGGAGGACAGGGCAATTTGGGAGGAGGATGAGGTGACCTTCCTCCCCTCCTGGTGTTGGGGCACCCTGCACTGACCACCTGGGCTCATCCCCTGGGACAAGCCACCCCAGGGGACACGGTGTGAGGCACCAGGTTTATTCTCCTTTTCCTCTCACCCTCTGCCATCTCCTTTTCCAGGAGTTAAACGCCTCTTCCCTTTGCTCCGAGCCTAATTGCGTCCCCAGGGTTTAACACGCGTGTGTTTGTTTTATTCAACGTGTTGGCTGTTCCC